GGGCGGCCAGCATTTTGCTCACAGCCTCGGCGGGCCTGCCCTCTCTGCTCGGTTGCTGAAGTCGCTGCAGACGGGTCCTTATGTACAGTATTTTGCTTTCTCTGGCCTGCCAAGGAGCCGGGACCAGCAAAGTGTGGCTGAGATAGGAGTGCAGAAATATCCAGATTTCTGTCTCTGGACTGTTTCTTTTCTCTGCCACTTTTACACTCCTTTTTATTCCAGCCAGAATAAAGTTATTTGTTGAGTTCAGATGAGGAGCACAACGGTGAGAATGACGCCGGTCAGTCGAGGGACAGGAGGCAGTTTGTGAAGTGTGGGTGCTGGAGTCCAGAAGGAAAGCTAAGCGTTGCTTGTGAGGCAGTAAAACCTAGACTCCCGGCTTTGGGCGGGAGAGGGGCCGGCAACTGGGCCTTGGCCACGGTCTTGGTCTCTATCTGACGGCACCTGTGTTCCCCTCCATGTAGCCCTGGCCAAGCCCTGAAGGACCCGGGCTGCTGCTTTTTGTATTCTTTTGTTCTCTGGGACTGGCCAGCACATCGACATCTGTGACAGCTTCTGCCTGTGTATCTAAGACATGGGGTAAAACCCTGGAGGGTTAGAAAGACTGAAGTCTCCCCAACCTGCCACGAAAAGCACTGCAAACCTTTGGCTTCACTGGGTTTTGAATCAGAAGGAAAGTATGAGAAAAAGAACCAAGACAAGATAAGAGAGGGGGACCCTCAGCGCAACCATGGAACTGACAAGGAGTCAGGAAAGGCAGGAACTGGCCCAGAGACCCTCTGGGTAGTTTTGCTGTTTTCTATGTCTGCAGGTGGACGGGGGGGCTGCTCGGGAAGAGAAAGGGGAATTTTAGTGAGATTTGGAGGCCAGAGCGGACGTGCTAGCCCCAGAACAGCACCCCAGCATCAGGGAGCAGACAGGGACAGCTTCTGGACCATCTGACATTTGCAAAAAAACTTCGCAGGCGCAACAGAAGGGAGCGTGGGGAGACACCACGGAAGTTTTCCCGGATTTTTTTTAAGGCCTCCGGATTTATTTTCTTATTTTCTTTCTGCCTTATTTACTACTTATTGTTTGTGCTTCTAGATGGCCTTCCAGATAAGGATCTCCAAGCACCGTCCTTGCAGTTTTTCCTCTCCTTGTCTTGGGGTTCTGGGGAGCAGGGCTTGAGGAAGTTTGGGGTGAGCTGGAGGCTGGTGGAGACTGGAGGCGAGCGAGCGAGGCGCTGGGGACAGGACGGGGGTGAGGAGCAAGCACGGCTCCCTGCGATGCAGGCTCTGCCCTTCTCTCTGCAGGGGTGCCGGTCCCCGCGCTGTTCCCGCACCCGCAGCACGCGGAGCTGCCCGGGAAGCACTGCCGTCGCCGAAAAGCTCGCACGGTTTTCTCTGACTCGCAGCTCTCCGGCCTGGAGAAGAGGTTCGAGATCCAGCGCTACTTGTCCACGCCAGAGCGGGTGGAGCTGGCCACCGCCCTCAGCCTGTCCGAGACGCAGGTGGGCAGGGCAGGGAGCCTGGATCCCCGCCTAGCTCCTCTCAGGCCTCGACTCCTAGCCTCTCCCAGATCCACCACGGACTTCTGGAGTACAGTGACCTCGCCCCCCTTACGTTAGGTTTTCCCCAAGACCCTAAGTAAAAATACGGACACCCCAACTTCAGGTCAGACTTCAGGCCAGAACGCAGTTTCTCCGGCGCAGGTCTGACGTGAAGGGGAAATTCCGGGACTTGGCGTGAGTCCCTCGATTTAAGATGGACATTTCTATGGCTCCTTTTCTCTGATCAGGGGTGGTCGCCGAGCAGAGGTAAAATCATCTCAGAGGAACTGGACCAGTTCTTGTCCTAAGAGAAGTTTACACGGAGAGAAAAATCTCTTACTATTTCTCTCTCTCTCTCCTCTGCAAACCTTTATGTAATCCCACCCTGACACCCAGTAAGATCCGTCCCTGGTCCTTGGGTACTCGGCCTGAGGCCTGTGCCGAAGGACCGTTCTCTTGCCTCCTTCCACCTGCAACCGCAGAACTCCGTCCTCTCCTCCCTCCCCTTCTATTCTCTGTGCCCGGAAATGCGCCTGGGCCGACTTCCTTACCCTGCAGGCCGGGTCTGGGTTCCTCTCAGGTGAGAGGGAGCAGGTTCATTTTTTTGATCAGACTCCCCCTCCCCGTAGCGTAGCGTGCGGGACCAGTTATTCAGCCGTCCCAGCTAAAGGAACAAGGGAGACGCGCTCTCTCGCACTTCCATTAGTGAATCTAATTAATAACACCATTAGTCATCACTAACCGCACCATTTGCACGTCCAGTGCTCATTTTTAAAAAAGAATTATTTAGCTTTATTCATTGCTATTATTTTATTTTATTTTACTTTATTTTGAAGTTGACGAGAGAGAGAGAGAGAGAGAGAGAGAGAGAATGCAAGCTGCCAGGTCCGGGACTTGAACCACGGTTAGCCATGTGGGAGTCCAGCCACCTTAACCACTATGCCACCTGCTGGACCCTCGGTGCTCATTTAACTTGG